TTTGAATTGTTCTGCTTGCCTTTGTATAGAGTACAATTTCTTTCTGCCATCATGTTCTTGCACTAGTTCGATTAGGGCATCATCAGTGTTCTTTAGGTATGTATCGAGCCCTATCGTGGTTGTTTTGTAGGAGGCTTCTAATTGGCTTCACTTACATGGCATATCATTGAAAAAACAACTGGCAAATGTAGCGCTGTCAAGATGGTTATTTCTGGTAATCAGCTGTGTTTTCATCGCTAGTACATAAGGTTTGTTTTGTTTACCCCTAAAATTATGGTAAAAGCTTACCTGCTACTCTTTGTGACCTCTTGTAACTGTTGTTACTGGACAGGCCTAGGAACAACAGCATTGTTTGCTGCCATTTCATCATGAAAACTGAACAACTGAACAACAAAACATTTACATTTGCAGAGTACTGCAGAAAGCCCATGAAAAATCAGTCATGCTTTGAAATTCGAAAGGTACCAGTCAGCGTTAACTAAATAAAGCACATGTAGATCTATAACAGTGCACTGTTTATTTTTTTCATCTATTACTTTCTTATCAGATTAGCTTACCAGATTAGGTCACCATAAATGCATTTTTTTTAGACTCCTGAGCATTTGCAAGCAGTAATAAGTGCCCTTACAGGCAGTAAATTTTACCAGTTACCGCCTGATAAGGAGAACCCTGCCTTAGGTCACAAAAAGAAGTAAGTAAAAAGCTGGATTAGTGTCAACAGCTGGAGGAAGGTTGAGGAAAGAAGAACAAATAAGAAGAGAAAGGTCAATGATGCAAGAACAAGCAACCAAAAGGCACAGAAGAAAACACAGTACTAAAGATTACACAAAGAAGTTAAATCCAGTTTTAGGTATGATAAGAGAGAATGGGCAAATAATATTGCTCAGAAGCAGAAGATGCAGTGACAGAAGGACAAATAAAGGGAGCCTACGAGGCTACAAGAAAATTGTGCAATGCCCAGGCCAAAACAAGTTGACATGATAAACAGTAAGGGAGGCAGATTATTGACCAAAGAAGATGAAGTACATGAAAGATGGCAAGAACACTTCATGGAGGTGTTAAATAGGCCTCACCCAGTAATGACAGTTGAGATCATGGAAGATGATGACATCAATGAAAAGATTGAAGAAGGACCAATCACCAAGCTAAAAACCAACAATGTAAGATTTCAAGGACATGAAAAGTGCTGAAGCAGCTGGTATCAACAACATTACAGTGGAGATGATGAAAGCTGATATTAATATGACAGTCGATGCCTTGCATGACATCTTCAGATTAATCTGGGAAGAAAAGAGAATCGGCCTATATATCCATTATACCTGCTGTGGCCAAAATCTTTGAAAAAATTTACCTATGACCAACTATATAATTATCTAAACGTAAATGATTTATTAACCAGTTGCCAGTCTGGCTTTCGCTCTCTACACAGTACGCTCACTGCCTTGTTGGAGACAAGCAACAACTGGTGTGTCAATGTTGACAAAGGTCTTCTCAATGGTGTAATTTTCATTGATTTAAAGGCCTTTAACACTATAGATCATAAAATAATCTTGCAAAAACTTGCTAAATATGAGGTGGATCAAGATGCCTGAAATCATTTAAGTCTTACCCAACGAATCGTCTGCAACGATGCAACGTAAACAATCACCTTTCCAGTGCAAGCCCTTTAAACTGCGGAGTTCCCCAAGGATAAATAATTGGTTTTCTACTCTTTTTGATGTATATTAATGACTTACCAAATTACTTGAATGTATGCTGATGACACAAATGTTACTTTTGCTGCATCTAACATGATTGGTCTTGAGACCCAAATCAATACTGAACTGACAAGCATTAATGTCTGGCTCAGAGCTAACAAGTTAAGCCCCACTGTTGCTAAAACTGAGTTTATGGTCATTACCTCATGTCAAAAATTGCAGTCTTTGAATGACAATATTAATGTAGATGGCACCAAAATAAACCAAATTAATCATCATAACAAAGCTCTCGGACTAAACATAGATGAAAACCTATCCTGGAAGGAGCACATAGCTACATGTACACGCATTTTGAAAAAAGTCGCTTTCAGTATCGGTGCACTTAGGCGAGTCAGATCTTTTATTTCCATGCAGACTGCTATTAAAATATACAATGGTCTTACTGAACCACATTTTGATTACTGCAGTGTTGTTTGGGATGGCTTGTGTCGACAGCTGAGTGAGAAAATTCAAAAACTACGAAATCGCACTACCAAAGTAATTACTAAATCAAGTTATGATATGAACTCCAGCTATCTTCTCAACTCGCTTAGCTGGGATAACTTATCAGTTAGAAGGGCGCAGCAAAAGGCAAATTTAATGTACAAATGCATTAATGTGCTTCCCCCAGTTTATCTTTGTAACGTGTTCACTCCGAGCACTTTGTCCTTTGATCTTCACAACGCAAGACAAAAATTGCATTTACCGAAACCAAAACTGACTACCTGAAGCGTAGCTTCAGTTACAGTGGAGCTTCTCTATGGAACAATCTTGCAGAGGAACTTTGCTCTACAAAATCTCTAGACATCTTCAAGAGAAGCATTAATAAATGGTTCTCTGCATTGGACTCCCACATGACAAATATGTAAACCAGTAAATAGAAAGTTTTACATGTGATGTATTTCTTTTGTCTATTATTGTCATACTGATAAATTATTATTACTGTGTATTAAATAAAGTTTTCATTCATTTTTCAATCATTTACATTCGTTCATTCGTTCGTTCACTTGTTCATTACAGGATACATACAGGATGAGTCTTATTAGTTAAATTGCCCAAGAAAGGAGATCTGTCCAACTGTGGCAACTGGAGAGGAATTACATTGATGCCTACCGCTGCTAGGGTGATGGGAAAAGTAATTATCAAGAGAATATCTAGTGGAGTTGATAAAAAACTAGGGAAAGAGCAAGTAGGTTTCAGAAGAGGTAAAATCCCATTGGTGCAGATGTTTTAAGAAACATTATTGAGCAGCCAGTTGAATGGAATGCAAGCCTGCATATTTGCTTCATTGACTACAAAAAAGTTTTCAACAGTGTCCACAGGGAGACCCTGTGGAGGATCATGAACTTATATGGTATTCCACCCAAAATTATTAGGATAGTATAGGGAATGTACAGAGGAAGCCAGTGTACAGTAGTCGATGGAGGAGGAAAGACTGACTGGTTTGACATTAAGTCAATTGTCCCGCAAGGGTGCATAACTCCAGGGTTTCTTTTTTGCTTGTCATTGATTGGGTGATGGGGAAGGGGCTTGTGGAAAGAAATACTAGGATTAGGTGGAGGTTTACTGCGAAATTAGAAGGTCTTGATTTTGCTGATGATCTTGCACTGTTATCAAGTACAAGAAGGCAGCTCCAGTTGAAGAATGATTGCTTATTTAATGCCAGTCAAGGAATAGGTCTAAAGATTACCATTGCCTAAATGAAAAGTATGAGATTCAATGCTGTAACCGATGAGAAAGTTATGGAAATGGAGAAGAAATTGAAGACCTAAACAGTTTTGTCTATTTGGGAGCTAAAGTTACTACCTCTGGTGGAGCAGATGATGACATCATATACAGACTGAGTAGAGAAAGAGCAGTGTTTGGTAAACTGATGAATATCTGGAAAAGCAGACAACTGAGTAAGAGTACTAAGATAAGGATATTCAAGTCCAATGTAATAGCTGTGTTGCTGTATGGATGTAAATCATGGAGGGTGATAAAGGGGGATGAAGCCAAACTAGAAACTTTCCAGCACAAGTGCCGCATACACTTTTAGAAATCTATTGGCCTATGTGAGTGTCAAATGAAGAGGTGCGCAAGAGAGCTAACATGGGAACTATCAGTAGACAAGTAAGGAGAAGGAGGTGACATGGATTGAACACATGCTGCAAATGGATAACAGTGCCATGTGTTGCACTGATGTGGGCACCGAAAGGAAAACGCAACAGAGGAAGACCCAGAGAAGCATGGCACAGGACAGTAGAGAAAGAACAAATGGCAATGGGTTACCATTCTTGGTTAGAGGCAAGCCTGGCGGCGGCTGGCAGAGTGTCTTAGTTGAAGACGTAACATTTCTGGCCCCACTCTCCATATGGAGAAGCATAACTGATGATCTTCTCTCAATAAATATACCTCCTAGCAAACCAAACCTAGGAAAAGGATAATGACCAAAACAGCTGGAAAGCAGGGATGGAACTAGGAGTTTTTGGTCTGGGTCCTGGGACCCGCATATCTGGCCAAATAAGGGTCCCTAACATTTTTTGTGGGTCTCAATAATTATACAGAGGGCATCTCTTCCTTTGAAAGCCAATATGTCGTTTGCATTTGCTTGGTTAAAGACTCCTCATCCAGTCCGCTTGCATTGTCACTTGCTGCTTTGTAACGCTGCCGTTGTTGCAATACCTTAGCTGTACTTTTGAGATCAACCTGTGGCATGTGACAAACAAGTGCGTCCTTCTTTCCAGCTTTTAAACAATCCTTACAAATCATAAATAAATCGCCTCCGGTACCTCTTGTCTGCAGCAAGTGAAATTCCTTCAGCCATTTATCAAAAAAAAAAATTCCCATGTCTACCAGCCATTGTCATTACATCGGCCTAAAAATATACCAGTTTTATCCACTTGAATACACAACACATGTTTCTTCGACTGAGAAATCAATTCAAAATGGCAGATGCTTATGCAAGTGTCCCGAATGTACAATTGTCACCAGTCTCCAACTCTGCCAAATCCAATATGGCAACCACGATATTCCGAATTTTGCGACTGCGATTGCGATCTGCTCAACTTTTGCTTCGTTTCTCAAACAACAAAAGCTAACTGACTTGTCAAAGCTAATGTAATAAGTTCTCTAAGTAGGCTCTTGCATCCTAGGACACACAAAAATTTTGAAAATGCATTTTTGAGGATGTTTTTTATTAAAAATGCACAATTTCTGCGATAACGATATCCCTGGAAAGAAATAGTAAAAGGACGGTAACTGTGTAAAATGTTCTATTTATACCTGAGAATGACCAAATCTTCCAGAAGGTTTCTTGCCTCTGATGTTGGGACAACTCCACGTCATGGTCACCATGTCTAACACCCACACATCGTTAAACCTAATAAACGTAAAATAAAAAACATATTGAAGAGAATGGTCCCAGTGACATATCACAAACTACTTACCAACCTAACTTGCTCAAGCCGCACTGGGGAATATTGACCCTCAGTAGTTTTTGTATGGGCCTTGCTGTGTTCAGTCCATACTGCCACTACCTTAGCCCAATATTCCCCTGTCAGCCCTGGCATCATTATATTGTTGCAGCATTTTGATAGTGCAACTCACTCACTGGAAGATATCCTGGTGGCAGTGGAAAGGTACATGAAGACTTGGCTCGGAAAGATTTAAGATAATACAAGGAGATGTATCCATATAAATACAAGTGCACACATCTCTGCATGTAAGTGGTGACAGATGTGCATTTGGAACTTACAGGATGATTGGCTTGAATGAAGAGAGAACGGAGGGTGAGGATAGAATGTGTGAGGGAAGGGGTTGGTAGGAAGAAAAGTTAAGGAGATTGAAAAAAGAATGAAGTCCAAACCCTTTTTTGTTTGTGCAAAAAGTTTCAGTCCCTGAATGCAAGTCTCAATTAAGTAGGGCTGTTCACAGAGTAATACTGTCTTCTCACTGAAAAGTTTCTTGGAATCGATACTGGGATACTCATTTGAAGAGGTTTCCTTTGTCAAAACCAAAGAAATTATGGGTGGCTAGTTATGAATGAGAACACTGCTGAGCTTTGAAATTTGTTTATGTTTTAGGTAAATGCAACAAGATATTTTTATTTGTTAGTTTCAAATGCAACTTGACACTTTTGTTTATTCATGCACGAGTGGTTGTAATTAACACTGACAAATCAGTGACTCTTGTTCACCAATCAGAATAAACAAACACGAAGCCAATATAGCGGCATGTCCAGAAACTTTGACTTGCCATAAATGTTTGTACTGCATAGCCACAGTAACATTTCAATTTCGCACTAAAAAAGGGAGAAGTGACACTACGTGAAAAAAAATGGCATCTTCAGTCACATCACACGACATATAAACAGCCGCATGGAAACATAGTGTATAGCACTAATGATGCTAGAATGCATGCATCTTCCATGTTGGGTTCTACCATAACAAAACCACTCAGCATTTGTGTGTGATTCCATATGCAATCTATTTAATTTGTGCAGGTGTCTAGATAAAATTGGTTTTGTTCTAAACAGAATAGTACCACAAGGAGAGCAAGGGGTTACCTGAAACAAATATATAGCTTTGCAATATTCACAACCAACTGGCGTAGGTGGAACATGTTTTACGTAGACTACACAAGTACCTTTCTCACCCTACCCCCACCACTTCCCTCCCTCTAGGCTAATTAATTAATTGAAGTTAATTAAACCAACATTAAAGTTTACACCTTATTCAATATTGTCTTAGCACCTTAGTTCCACATGGTCAGCCCTTTAGAGACAGCATAGTTTTAGAGCATCTGTATTTGAATTTTTTACTTTCCCAGCACAAGGATCTACCTTTCAGGTAAAGCTATTTGATCATTCTATTTGTATGTATTTTTTTCCTTTTGAGTTTTCATCAAGTTTTATTTGGCTTTGTTTAATTTCAACACCTCAAATATGATCAGAATGTTGTTTATATTAAAATTTGCTTCAAATCATTTAATGTACTTTTATTTTCCTAATTAAATATTACCTTGGAAATATTTGTATTGTTGTGTTAATTCCAGATTAACATAATTTAAATAAGTTTAATTAACTCTCAAACAACTTGACCCTGCAATGATTATTATGCGGGATGCCTGAGCCAGGCGTTGTCAAAGTTTCAGTCGAGTTTCTTTTATCTTCTTCTTCTTTGTAGTCTCCCATATCCTGCAGGACCGTGTGGTCTTTGTGTTTGTTTGGCGTGGAAGTATGTGAGTTGAAATCATGTCGGGCCGAAGGAAAATACTATTAACCATACTATTAACTATACTATAATAGTAATACTATAATAGTATTTTTACTATAATAGTAAAAATACTATTAACCATAAATTTGCGTCAAAAGCTCCCATCGCCTCAAGATTTCGCCATGAGTATGCTCGATAGCTGCCCTAACCATCGCTTTCCTACATCACTGAATGAGAGGGAATTTAAGTTTGCAAATGTCGCATATATTTTTGGTAGCGAGACCCACCGCGAAGGCATCTGCTGAGTGGGACTTTAAGCTCACAAGTCTCACATATATTTTTCATTGCGACCCATCACAAAGCCCAACGAATTTACCAAAGGTGGAAAATAGCCATAAATATCCTTGAGAAGCTCCCATCTCCTCTCAGTTTTACCTATATAGAGGGCATGTTTGATAGCCAGCAAGTCCAAAAAACACCATCAGCGTCAACCCATCACACAGCCTTGAAGCAAGTGTAAATATGTTGTAAGCAATAAAAAGCATAACATTTTTAGAGCTTTCCAGCCTGGTGCAAACAAATGTAATCTTACACTCATAATGAAATGTCCGACAAAATTCCAACCAAAGACGTTCAAGGTCTTGACATTTTGGAAGGGTAAGGGCTAAAATAACAGCTGGTCAACGGACAATGTCCAGCCAGAATGGTGACTTGACCAGCCAAAAAATTCACCCGCCGGTCATGTTGACTGGTCATGTCATGTTGAGACAGTCATGTTGTTCACTCTTGAATGAACAATCAAATCCCCAACTGTAAATCTTAGATTTTTAATCTCTTTTTTATTTTGGCCTCTCACAAGCCTCTCACAACACCAACCAAAATCAATCACTTGCTGTTTGTTATGCATTCAAGATCGATAGGATTCCCAGTTGAATGGTTGGGGTTATCCGTTTCGAAAAAATAACATTCAGCCGTTTGAACAACTGCTGCAATCCATTTGAAAAAAATTTTCATCTTTTAGGATGGCAGAGGTTTTCAAATCAGAATTCAAAAGTATTTAGTTTTTCAAACAGCAGAGGTTTTCCGTAGGCAAAGAATCTGATCAGATTCAGCTTTTCATGACGCCTTAGATTTGCCCAACTGTCACACTTTTGCCACAGGACACCTCTCTTTGTTGGCATACACTGTATACACATGCATTTCAAAGGTATTGCTCTACAGATGTCAAGATATTTGTCATTTCTTTCACTTTCACTGCACAAAAATCAACGAACAAGTCACCAAAACAAAACTTTTCACTCAATTGTCAAGTTGTTTCCAGCTTAGACACTATGGGACTCTGCGACATCAAAACACGCATTTTGCAGTCTGCTTCGTTTCCATCAAGTCATAAAATGTAACTTTGAGCACGAAACCAGTATCCAATTTAGAACCAACCGATAAGTTACTGTTACAAAACCGACGAAATTATGAACCAACAAAAAAGCCAAAGGCCTTTATATCAGTATCTGTATCTGTAAAGTTATTTTGTTTGCGAATAATATTTGAGACTCTCTCAACTCATTGCTTGGTAACATATACCGAATGATAGTCATTAGTTTTTCGTGAGCAAAACCTCTCTCTAATACGACTACAACAGAGTTTAGATTTTTTATGGCTTACATTTTAGAACTTAATTTTAGTCACATCATTAAGAAACTTCCCAACACTTGCTGTGCAACTGTAGCCGCATTTGTAGTAATTTGATGATTATTTTGTTGTGTGTTTGCACAGGGGAGAATCGAGGAAACAGGAACTTCTTCTTCGGCTATATTTTTTTACCCAGTTATTTCTGAAGCCCAAAATTAGGATGGTGATGCTGATGCATGTTTGGTTTCTTTTACGTTTTGACGAACCGAAATACTTTGTAGAACATCAAAACAACAGCTCATGGATTTCAATACACCGATAAAAAAATTCATCATATATGCATCCGTTCAATACTTTTTCTTTGGCAGGTGGCAAGAATTCCACTCACAGCATGCCACTTCATTGAGCTGCTGAGCCCTGCCAAGGCTATCTGTGGTTAGTTTTAAGCTTTTCTTTGTAGTAGGCCAATTTTTAAACGGTCTAGCAACGACTGGAACAAACAAATTATATCTCTGAGTTTAATCAGGCCAACATTACTTAATTTTTTTTTTTTTTTAATATTTTGATGGGTCAGAAACGAGACGTCACTGAGCTAAAATTACTTTGGCCGGTCAACATGACCGGCCACCGTCCGAAAATTATTTTGAGCCCTGAGGGTGCTTCTCCCCCCAAGGAATTCTGATTTTTCACAGTTACATAGGAGAATATGCCTCCTAAGCTCTCTAGAGGCTCGCACCTTCATTGCTCACTGGATTTGTCTGCATTGAAAGTCTGGCTACAGTCCTGAAATCTCACACTTGTGATTCAGAAAAATTTCAGGTATATACCAAGACATAAACACAGCCTAACCTCAGCTGTCTTTGAGCTCCTCCAAAGACTACCATTTTGCATCCTATGGTGCATGCTCCATGTCCAGCTCTCTTACAAGGTCTGGGTCCATTTAGGTTAACAGCTGGGGAACTCCAGGACTGACTGATGACATTGAATATATACAGGTCATCAAAAAATTTTGCAGCAGAATTAATTCCCGTCCTTGCAGGCTGACACCAGCCACCAAATATGACCATATCTCTGTTGTCATAAGCCACAACAGTCGCACATTCTTTAGGTGGTGGAGGGGAACCAGAAGTTCGAGGCCTCATCCAGCGTTTTTCTATTAAATCCAGCAAATATAGATCATTAAAAGCCGTATTTGACGACGAACATCCTCCATATATGTACATTTTAGTTCCTATGATACAGCAGCCATGGGAGAATCGTGGTGAAGGTGACACCCTCGTTTTAGTAGTCACTGTTCGAATTCGTAAATTACCAGTTCTTACAGCTTCTCGAAAATCTTGTACCCGTTGTCTGGATATTCTGGAGATCAAACAATACCACAAACGACATACACATTTGGCCTCAAAAAAGTCTCCATATGGTGACAAATAAGACATGATTTTCTCTACAATCTCATTAGGAAGGCGGGAAAAATGACATTCTGGTTCGGCAAACGCTTGTGTGTTATCATACGTCATGGTGTCCGCCATCGCAATGATGTAAATCTTCAAATGGCATAATTCAACCCAGGAGCCATTGGTTCGCGTTGTCCGCTGACTCGTCAAATAGTTACATTTGTAAACATTTTTACCGTTGCGGTTGGGTCCTATGTGGCAGACATGTCCTCTGACGTAATGTGATATACGGAGCCAATCATATCATGCGTTCTATCTAATAACACGCAGCATAAGACTGGTAACTAAACTCCGTTGCAGTTCGGTCTTCGAACAAAATTGATTTTTCGATGGGTAGCGTACGGAGGCAGTATTTGACTTTGTATGTCTTTACTCTGAACCAGAGTGACTCTAAACGTAAATATACAGCGACTATTTGCAAGAATTACATTTACCACACAAGATTTCTAACGGAAATTGACCGCTTAGTGTATTTTCAGTTTCAAATTGAACATGAAAGTTCGATCGAAGATTTAAGGTGGCTGAACACGGTTTTTGATACCTCTGTTTCATTCACCTTTTTCTCTAAAACCCATGATCTCTCGGTCGCCAAAAATGGCAGCAAGCAAGTTAACAACACGAACTTTGGTTTTTTGATGGTTAAGCTGACGTATGTACCGTTGCCATGGCAACATGAAAAATATAAATTATGCATGCAATTTTTGACTGACTCGTTCTTTTCACGATTGCTGTTTGAGTATAATGTGATAGTTTGAGATAGTTGCATACATAATTAATGTATGGCGCTGTACGGAAA